GTTTAGGTCTTTCAACCATTTGGAGTCTATTTTTGTGTGTGATGTAAGGAAATGGTCCAGTTTCATTCTTTTGCTTGTGGCTGTCCAATATTCCCAACACGATTTGTTGAAGAGACTGTCTTTTTGCCATTGGACATTCTTTCCTGCTTTGTCAAAGATAAGTTGACCACAGAGTGGAGGGTCCATTTCTGGGCTCTCTATTCTGTTCCATTGATCTATGCGTCTGTTTTTGTGCCAGTACCATACTGTCTTGATGATGACAGCTTTGTAATAGAGCTGGAAGTCCGGAACTGTGATGCCGCCAGCTTTACTTTTCTTTTTCAATATTCCTCTGGCTATTCGGGGTCTCTAGAAGGACCACTACTTTTCAATGGAGATAAATACATACATGGTTCTCAGCCTTAGTCATGCAACAGCATCACTGTGGCACATTTGCAATACAGAAGTTCAGTCCTCACTCAAATTCAGTAATGTTAAAAAGCGCCGCAGGTGATGCTCATGCACAACCAGGGCTGAAACCATTCCTAGTTTAAGCAGAGGTTTTTCGTATGTGGTCCCTGGACCAGCATCATCAGCATCACTTAGGGACTTAGGAATGCAAATTTTGGGGCCTGAATCAGAAAATCTGGGGATTCTGACTCATAGTAAAGGTTGAGAACCACTGCTTTGAGCAAAAGGACTAAGGTCTAACTGGGACATTTGAATCAGGAGTGGGGAAAAATGGTTGGAGGGCACAAGTTCCCCCTGAGACCATGTTCCATAAATTGTTGTCTTGTCTGTGTACATATAAAACCATCTCAGGTTCCCTGTCCATTGACTGAGGCTGTCTCAGATTTGCAGACCATCAGCTGTGTTGGAAGCTTTTCTCCAGGAGAAAGGCCAGCTTTACTTAAAGTGGCAACAATATACTGGGTAAAGGTATTAACTGGTGGTATTTGTGTCGGTGGTCATGACTCCCCCCTTCCTTCCTCTTATGTCCTACAAGCGACAGACCACAAGTGAGGCTGGTGGACAGGGCAGAGGCAGAGAATAAGGTTGTAGTAGGGGAAGGAAGTAATTTGATTTGGTAAGCTGAATTGGACTGAATTTGGGGTCATGGAACTCTTTTGCACCCTAAGTTATTATTTCTTTAATTATAAATTTAATCTCAAAAACAATGATCCCAAAGCCCTCACTTTGAAGGGTAATGTCTTCATGGCCTGCAGCATTGTATGTGGGGAAGATGTCCTAAACATTTGGCTGCAGTGTGGGGACATTTTGATTATTCTATTCAACTAGCACTATTCTTGGAACTGGGGTGATGAATGATGAGCAGGAGGATCACTGTCCCTAACCTCAAGATCTAGGTGGGGAAACAAGCAGCTGACCCCAATGAAGAGGAGACACAAGAAGGAGCTGAACATCTGGTACTTTCTCTGAACTGCTATCTGGGGCTCAGGTAAGTCCTCTCTGCGTCAATGAGTGTTGAACAGGAATCAGCCAGGTGAAGGGATGGAGGAGAGGGAAGAAAAGAGTGGGGAGAAGAACATTCTAGAAGGAGGAAGAACTCGTGTGAAGGCCTGGGGTTCAAAGGAGAGCCTGGTGTGGAAGTTTTAAGTGAGCTGAATATGCAGGGCCCCGGAGAGCTTAGGGCATGGGATGGAAGATGAGGTTGGACAGGCAGCAAGTCCGGATTCCCAAGGGCCTAGGAAGTCAGAGGAAGGATTTGGACTAAGGCCTAAAGGCAACTGGAAACCACAGAGGGATTTAAAGCAGTGGAAGAAGATGATAGATTTGCATGAGAAATAAATCTCTTGGCTGCACTTTGGAAAGTGGATTGGCTGGGGGGAGCAGTGGTATTGGGAGACAGTTAGGAGCTCTCTATTGTATGGACTAAACTTGTGATTGTTTGCTTAGGAAAAATATGAAATGAACTAAGAAATTACGAGATTAAAATGTATTTCCTCTTGTCTTCTTTCTCAGCCTGGGTTTTGTTCTTTGGATGAAATATCTATGGCAGCTACCTTCAGAGTCCAGATGCATTTGACATAACGGAGGTCCTAGTCAGTGGCATGAGTAAGTCAACAAATACTAATTGAATGCTAGCCTCTTGCGAGTCACAATATAAAACACGGGGCTGGACACCATGGGGGATCCTAGGAAGCCTTGGTCCTTGCCCACAAGAAACTAACAGTTGAATTATGGAAATAAAACCATTTAAATGTTCAATGAAAATTCAAGCTGTGTGTTATTAATTATCAAAAAGTGAGGATAGAATCATTAACACTCTAAAAGGAGTAACAGTAGAAGTAGTTTCATGGAAGGTGTAGGTCCAGGGCTTTGAATAAGGCTTAGAAGGCTCTTGGGAGTGGGCAGATAGACAAGCTGAGGGAGGTGGGGGAATGGGGTGAGCAGTGGGCATTGTGGTTGGATCCACATTTGGGATTTCAATTTGTCTTGATTTTCAGGGAAAGTCGACTGGGCCTCAGACATAAAAGAAAAGCACACAAGCTTTTGGCAGAGTATAAGGGAGTCATAAATGTTCCCATCTTAAGTAGTGGTCACTTCTGGGCCACCCCTGTTGGAACTGCAGCAGGATCTGTAAGGCATGTGGGGTCAACCAGGAACAGGCGTGGGGAAGGCGGAGTTGGGGGCCCGGCCCTGCTGCGGGGGAGTGCAGTGCGCCTTCCGTATCTCAAACTGGCCACCCCAGAGACCAGTGTGCTCTGCTTTCCTGAACCTTACCTAGTGCCAAGATAGTTCAGAAGTTACCTGTCACAGAAGGAGACATTTCTAAAGTCATACCCACTGGGAACCCCAGCTCTTTGCCCCTTAGTGCTGAGACAATCTGCTCTCATACTGAGTTCCATTGTACCAAAGGGTCGATTTGGCTCTGAGTTGCCCTCAAGCCCCAGGTACAAGTTGTCACTTGAGGGCCACCCGCCACCAACCTGGGTGGGAGGTAGGGAGGAGATGGAAAGGTAGAGGGCCTGGAACTGGCCCTGCAGCAGCAGAGGACCCAGCAGGCCAGACTGAGAGAGGACCGGGGGCCACTGGGAGACACCCGGGTGAAATGGAGGGCGGTGTAGGGAATGCATCTCAAGGTCTGGCCAGAAGATATCAGTCTGTGAGGTGAGTCCCAGGCGGAGGGTCACGGGGCAGAACATTCCCAATCATGTGCGCTCTTTGGAGATGCTTTTGGGCTTCCTGACTGAGGGCCAGGGGAGCCAAAAGAGTGGGAGACCCCAAAGACAGCCTCTGGACCTCACTATGCTTAGAGTTAGTCCTCCTCTACCTGTTTCATATTTTGGAGATCTGCTTAATAATTGAGTTGAAATAGAAAAGGATCCTGATGACAGAGATCATTTGAAAATCTTTGTCCATTGACTGGCCTTTCCGCAACATTCTATTTTGGTCCCTACTTGAAGGAATGTCCTCAAAATAGGAAAGGTACTTTGTTGAGCACCCCAACTCTGTGAGATGCACGAGGGTGGAAGCACTGAGCCCCAGAATCTGCTCGGCGTGTACGGACCAGCCGAGGGTCTGCTGGGGTCGTCGGGGGGGGGGGCAGGGATGGGAAACAAGAGCCAGAGAGCTGCCAGCAGGAAGAACAATGGGCCAGTGTGAGTGCTGCCTGGAGGGGCTCGGCGGAGGGGACAGTCTGCCGGGGCTGCGGAGGAGGTGTGTTTGTCCAGGCAGGAAGCCACAGGGGACCCTGAGCCAGCCTCCCTGGCACATCTCCTGACGGCACCTGCAGCAGAGCCCCGGGCACCTTGAGGAAGCCTGCCCCAGCCCACCTGGCCGGGCAGATTCCTTACCTCCTGGTCCTGCTTGAGGACTGCCGCTGTGCCCATCCCTGCCACTGCTCCGGGAAGGATGCCCCATTGTGTTCAGGTCGCTCAGCCTTCTCCTGCAGCCACCTCCTGGCCTCGCCGTCTGGGAGGCGTTCCCTGAGCAGGGAAACAGATCTAAAGGCAACAGCTTCTAAGAGAGAAGGGTGTTACGGGGGTAGGACACCTCCTAGGCTCTCATCAACATCTGTGGAACGAATGATTTTATGAGTGTGCTGGGTCTCTCCCTCTGCGTTAAGACTATTGGGCCAACACAGGCATAACTCTTCCTGGTGAGTGGGAGTAATTGTATCACAAGGAGACACCGTTCCTGGTGTCATTCACGTGGGGTGGAGGCCTGCTTCTCGGACCAGGCCTGGGCTGGGCACGAGCATCTGAGGAGGCAGTCAGGGTGGGCCCATGTGGGCGATAAACAGAAGTGAGGCAGCTGTAGAGATGAGCCACACAATGGCATCCATTTGAACATCACGTATGGAAAAGGCAGGACCCGCGGGCCATTGGAATGAGCTGGTTGTGGCGAATTCGGGAAGGTGGACTTGGTTGGCTTGGCTCCTTTGCCAAGCCTGGTGTTCTCTGGGCTCCTTCCTGCTGTAGTCTCCCTCTTGGGCAGCGCTTAGTAATAGAATGGCCAACCTTCACTGGGCATAGACTATGGCCAGCACCGTGGTGCTCCTTTTCACGCGGTCTTTGATTTGATCCTCACAGTAGCCTGGTAAGGAATTATTATCTGTGTTTTACAGACAAGGAAATGGAGGCATAGAGTGTTAAGTGATCTGCTTAAGATTACAGTTTTAAGTGGCAGAACCAGAATTTGAACCGAGACCTATCGAATTCCAGGGATCAAATTCTTAACTGCTTTTTGTTGTGGAGTCCTCTGGACGGTATCAGCCTGTTTTGACTGAGCTGAGTCAAGGGGGAGGGGGTGTTTGATTTAAGCTTGGGGGGAGGTTTTGTGGAATGCCAGAGCTCCTGGGAGGACAGAGTTGCAGTGTGAGGCAGGTCTTGGGGTGTGGGCCACGTCACTTGGTCCCTCACTCTCCCTCCCTCCAAGAGCATTTCCTTCCCATGCTGCACCTTGGACACTGTTCTTACGTTTGTAATTTGGGAGCCAACCCCCACAGATTCTTTCTGCAACCTCTGCCCAGTGGTCCCCTGAAGATGGGCGTGGCTCATGAGGAAATTCTCTTGGGGCTCAGGTGGTGCATCTGAAATTTAGAACTAAAGTAGATCTCCAAATACACTGTCCTCTGGATGGCCAGCATCCCGGGGACCCACACTCCGCTAACGTCTGGTTTCAGCATGTACTTCTCACGGGGACTGAGAGCCAATGCTGCCTGGGGGCATTTGGAGGGCTGGACAGGGGCAGGTGTTCAAATGTTTGATGCCAGCTATTTGCTCTGGCTGATCTAATCAGGCCACACTGGCATCCCATTCTCTGACAGGTGAGAGCAGAGGGTTATCTAGATTACATTACGTGACTCACCATCATTTATAAACTGATTCAGTAGCCTGGCTCCTCAATTATTCCAGAGGAATAACAGGGAGCCCCCTGACCATGGTGGACTTGGAGGAGGCTTCGGGGGCATCTATGTAGGATCAGCCCACAGTGATCTCTCTGTGCTTCTAGCAATCTTTGCACTCATTGGTATGGATGTTTATGACTCCAGGTGGCTGTATTGTGCCACCTGCCGTCACTCTGTTCCATGTCCTCATGCCCCTCTGTGGTGCAGGCAGTACCGGTGGACTGGGCACAGCCCAGCCACAGTATTGGAATAGTCGCAGCCAACCCTTTTAGATGCTTCCTATTTGCCAGGCACTTGCACTGTTTTGCACATATTAACTAATCTAATCCTTACAAAAATTTTAAAATCTGTGTGCCCAGAGAAGATAACTTGCCCAAGGTTGGCGGATGTGTTGGCTCAAAACTCAAGACTCAACACCGTCAGCAGCACCAGTTTGAGTCTATTGTAAGCCATTGTACCCTGCAGGGACCAGCCTGAATAAAGTTCCTGGTGCTTGGTGACTGCAGTTGGCCTTGATGGGCTGGGGAGGTTGCTCTTCAATGTCAGGGGCCGCTGCTGCTGCTGTCTACGTGGTTGTCACACGCTCTGAAAAAGGATAAATGGCCAGTGATCAGCTCATCCATGAAACTTTGCTGAGTGCATACTCTACAACTGGCATTGTGTCAAGTTTTCTGTATACAAAAGAAACCCAAGACGATGCTTCCTTAAGGAACCTACTCTTCTTGTACCAGAAGAGGTGGTTTGGCATAGTTTTTGCCTTCCAGAGCTTGGGGCCATCAACACGTTGGGCCATCCACACTCAAGCTGAGGTGGCTCTGGGACTGCTTAGCAATCTGTCTGTAACTTGCTCTAGAGTCTGTGCACCTGCCTATGAAGTCCACCTCCCTGGTGCAAAATGGTCACCTTGTTGCAGAGATATAAGTGGTCTGAGTGGCACCTTCGGCTGAGCAAGTGGGACTGGCAGCCTTTGAAGAAAGAGGGAAGGCAAGGATACTTGGGTCTGATTAGACTTCTGGCTTCTAGGCTCAGCATCCATCCCCCGGTAAAACTCCTCTGGGCATCTGTGGCAGAGTGGAAAGCCCACCGGAGCCCTTGCCCCACCTTCTGCTAACTGGCTGAGCCCGGGCCTTCTTGAACTCAGTCTTTCCTTTGCCATTGAGAGGGCAGTGGTTGGTGCTCAGTTGACATTTGTTGAATTTGTTGAGTGTCGAATATCTGGATTTAATGTCATTGATGGTTTTTATCTGTATCCTTTAGCTGTTTTTTTTTTTTAATGCTTTTCTGATGTGCATATTTCTGTGGAAATATGTTTATTTGGGGAGATGCTTTCTGACCCACTGTTTTCCTTGTTCTGGTGTGAGGATATTTGTGCTGGTTGTCTCTTCTCCACCCCACCCCCAACCCCCACCAGAATGCAAGTTCTGTGAAGTCAGGGACTTTCTTTGTTCACTACTATATCCTCAGTGCTAAATACAGCCTGGATAACAGTAGAATGACAGTCAACAAGTATTTGCTGAATGATTAGATAGATGAATGATTGGTTGTTTGAAACTTAACTCTCTTGTGGGGAGGTGGTGTTACAGGGTTGATAAGAGCTGTTCTCATCACAAGAAAAAATGTATAACTCTATGTGGAGGTGGATGTTCATGAGACAATGTACTGATCGTTTTTGCAGTAGATACTTACATCAAATCATTGTGTTGTACACCGGAAATTGGTATGTCAATTATATCTCAAGTAAAAAAAAAAAAAAAAAGAGCTGTGGAATCCAAGTGCCCAGGTGGGATCTCAGGCTCTTCTTAGGAGTTGTGTGTTTTAGCTAAGTTTCCTAACCTCAATCTCTCTGTCTTTTCATCTGTAAAATGAGGCTGATACTTCAAAGCATTGTTATAGGATTAAATGAAATAATACGTGCAGAGTATTTAGAACAGTTCTTGGCATATAGTAAATGTCCAGAAATCTTGGCTATCATTGATTTTACAACTGGGAGGTACATTTGATCTCTACCCCTCTCCCCTCACTTTGATGTTATTTATTGTTTTATGGTGTGACTGTGTCTATTTGTGGAATATATTAACTAAGGGAGATTTTTTAAAAATATACTCATGCCAATCAATTTATATTTATTGTGTGCCTGTTACATTTCTAACCCTGTTTG